CTAATCTGAACTGAATATGCGGTCAAGCAGGATTGTGTGATTAGATTGGAAGCTGGAAGCCAATCACAGTCCAATATGTAACTTAAACAAGTGTGACATGGAAACCTAAAACCTCTAGTGCACATACACACACAGTGGAGTAGTAGTTAAATTAGAATTAGAGTAGATGTAAATTGAAGGATGTTTAAATTAGTAGTTAATTAGTAATAGTTAATTAATTGTGGAGAAACCATATGAAACACAAATTATTATTTTACATCTAGAGTTTTCTTTTAACATTAGATAAATCCTTATAATTCCCATTTGTTGGTAATTACTTGCCCTAATGATCGTCAGTGTCTTTTGATTTAGCATATAGCATAAGTCCTGAAAGGCAAGAAAGTGATTCTCTTTCAGTTGTAAAGATACTTATAATTAATAATAATGATGCTAAGTTTATGATTACTTTTTTTATATAGAACGTTTCTAACAGGATTAAAAAGTGTTTAACAAAATGCAAAAATAAGATTAAAGGAAGAATTTAAATGTATAGAACAGAATAAAACAGTAAAACAATGCATAAAAATAAAACCAACATAGTTGTGAATGTGAGAGCACATCACATGTACAATGTACCTTTTGTGTGCTTTACGTGTGTGCACATATCATAACTGTGGTTACTGCAAAGCCCCAGCTCCAAAAGCCTTTGTTTCCTTTATTGTGGCTTTGGCATGCCAAGATCAAACAAGCTTATCAGTGGCTTCATATTGTTCATAATTCACTCCATCTGAGTGGAGAGATATTATTGGAATCGTTTGAATTAGATCACTAGGTCGATTCATAAAGATTGAGTGTCTGACTTTTCAACAGGCACTTGGCTGGCCTCTTTTGTTGTGTGATTTACAATTATTTAAATACAATCCTTCAAACCATTACTATCTAATGATGTACCATTTCTCTGATTGAATTCGACGCAACAAAACACGTCTCCCTGCGCTGGGTTAAACTAAATTATGTGTGGGTATTTTAACAGAGCATAGTTAGGCAGGAGCATCTGCTGTTCCTGCCCACATAGTGCCAACATGGCAGACAGCCTAATGGCTGATGCCAGGTGGCAATGCGAGGGCACTGTGACGAAACACACACATCCGCACTCACTGTAGTTCTTCCGCCTGCCTTCCTCTGAAGGAGTTAACAGTCCGATCCAGTCAAATTATGTGTTTGTTGTACTTTCAAAGACAGTTGAAGGATTCTATAACATAAATCAATTTGTAGTTGTGTTTAAGCTTCGTCTAGTTTTGTTTAAAAAATAGAAAAGGAAATATCAGTGACTAAACTTTTTATCCACCATTGTCCCAAACAAAGCACAGTTTCGTCCTGTGCTACACTCACAAGTGGGCTGTATGACTTCTTTCATAGAAAATCTTTTTCTCTTTATGTGGCTACGTGTCATAACAAGACAGAGAGGAGTCTTAGACCTGCATAATGGCTCGTCATGCTTCTTCATTTCGCCTGCCTTTTATGTCCCAGGAGTTATGCCAAGGAAACTGCGTCATTCAGGTGTGTCATAAATACACAGAGGGACGTGACTGCTGCAGTAAATCTAGAAAACACAATAAAACAGCAGCATGCCTGAGAGAAGAATGAGTATAAAATTGTTTAAATGTACCCAATACTCCAACACACCCCTTTCATGTGAGAAGACGTCACTGAGTCAACCTGTGGAATGCTTGAAATCTGACAGTATGTACTCTCCTCCGCGGCAGACATTATCCCCAGGCGCTGAATGCAGCTTAAGCTTTACATGTTAATGCAGGTTTCTGTGTCACAACATGATGCCATCTCAGAAATATTACTCAGGAATGCTTCACACTGCCTTCCAAGCATACCAATGCTGGGAATGTGTGGTCTGCCCCTCTTTTTTTTTTACTGTGGATGCAAATTAGGCAACACTAGAATGAACTGGAAAAACTGCCTATAGATGCACATTTGGACAACAGTTTAAGTTTTGTAGGTGTACTGGAAACGTGTAGAGCAACTTAATTTATTGAAGAGTGGGAAAAATGCTCATGGCAATAGGAACTTTCCAGCTTCAGTTAAATAGAACCACAAATGTAATCATGCTGGTGGCTCTAGAGGAAAAGTCAGGGGATCACCCAAGTCAGTAGGCTTCTTCTGCTGGGGACCATGGATATCTTTACCTAATGTTATGGCAGTCCATTTGACAGCTCACAAAAAACCACAACGTCAACCTCATGGTGGCATTAGGATAAAAGTCAGGGGATGGCTAAAGTGAACAGGATTCTTGCCCTTGGGACCATGAACGTTTATACAAAATGTCAGGCCACTAGTGTGGCTAATAAAAACAAGATTAAATTTGAACAGCCATGCTAGCAGGCCTGCAAGGCTTTCATGGCCATTAAACGCTAGAAATCAACATTTCCACAAATGGGAGAAAATGTTTTGCCTGATCGTGGTGTCAGAAGAAAAAAACATGTTATCATCTCTATTATGGTCATTGATATCGCATCTTTCATCAGTTTGAACTGTAGGCTACTTTGTTAGCTTCAGGTGTACTTAGGCCCAGCTGTGCTCGGTGCCAAATGCTATCATTACAGCTACTGTTAGCATGCACAGTTAGCATTTTAAAGTGCAAGTTAAAGTTTGACGTTTTGAGTAAGATGAGAAGATTGGTACCACATATCATATCTGAGCACTGATTATGGTGCACGACTCAGCTAGGAGGTGATTAGCTTTAGATTAGCATAAACACTAGAAGCCGGGGAAACAACTAGCCTGGCTTTGTCCAACATTCAAAAATGCATCTACCGACACCTCTAAAGCTACACACTATCTCATTATTTTTATTTTTTTAACAAGTAGAAATGTAAAAACAAGCACACATTTAATTGTTTGTCTCCTGACACTGAGTATTGATCCAGTGCTCTTTTCCCAAATTTAAAAATGTGTAACATAATGTGTGGAACTGTTTTTATGTAAGGTAACTTGAGGCCATGGTTTGCTGTGGCAGTAAAACATTAATGTAACTGATTACGGAAACGCTGGATTTTTATGATAACATTGGCAAAGAAACTGTATTTAATGTGGATCAGTGACGTCATCAATACTGATCTGCTGTATCAGATCAGTGCCTTCCAGGCTATGCAAGTCTGCCAAAACCAAAGAAAATACAACTTCTTTTTAGATTCAACATTTTGCTCTGATGTTCAGGAAAATACAAACAGTAACAGTATACTCTGTGTCTACATACCAGCATCAAAAACATATGACATTACTATTACAAACATTAGCTCTCAGCTTTTATGGCATTGCAATCAGAGCTAATTTTAGTCCTGTCCACATACTCTGCATGAGGCCTGTTTACCACATGCAGTGTGGTCGTATGCAGCGTGCCCATCAACGTGCTGCAAACAACCACAAAGAGCAAACAAAACCAGAAACATCCATGCCTGACTACACAACAAACACACTGTGCTCCCAGCTCATCTGGACTGGCTTTTCTGCAGTGATATTCCACCAGAGTACTCACCTGAGCCCCCCAAAATGCTTTTAGATTACATCTTTGCATGCTACCAAGAGTTGAGCAGCATCCATGCTTATGGTGTAGAGCTCAACATCCATTGCAGTGGTCCACAGAACCAATACCTTTCAGTTCAAAAAGGGGAGCTTTATAAAGAGGAGACAAGACTCTGCAGACAGATTTGAACTGCAGCAGGGTGTATATAGACCACACACAAACAGGATTTTATAAAAAAGGTTTCTGGAAGTCCTCAATTATCAAGGTACATCAGTGCTTGACTTTATTTCCTAATCCAATCAGTATCTTGAGGGAAATTAAATGTTCTTGAAGGAAATTAAACATTTATGGTCTTACCTCTCTTGTATGTTCCCCCAGATCTCAGTTATATGGAAGCCCATTTCTGCCAGCAGAAGAAAAAACAACTGAGGAAACACATGAATGAAAAATTACATGAAATTAAATGTGAAGTGTTTTTTAATTCAATCATGACTTTTAATCATGACTAACTTTTCATCATTCAGGTAAAGAAGTAAAACATTTTTTTTTTTTTTTTTTTACTTTTTAGCCCTTTTTTCTTCTTCTGGCAGAAATGGGCTTCCATACGAAGCCCTGTTAGTAGCAGACATTTACAGTCAGAAATCACTGTAAACAGACACCGTCTTTAAAGTCACCTTTTACAAATTTCCTTTAATTTCATATTTTAAAAAAATATATAGATTTATATGTTATGCCTGGGAGCTTCAGCTTCAAGTCTGTTACACTGTTTATCCAGTTGTCCTACCTTCAGCACAGCCTTCCTGAGGCATTGTGTTGACTTAGACCATGTTTGAAATCATGGTTTACCATTTAATTGTTCTGACACACATCTGAGGCAAAATCCAGCAGAGCTGACCCGATGTCTATATTATGGCTGACCCTGTGTGACTAGTGGTCCTTTGCATAAAATAAACATAATGTGCACACAGGGACACAGTTACAGGGATTACTTTACCAGATGCTTAGATATCTGGCTTTCAAAACTCTTTTGGAAAACAAAATCCCTCACCTCCAGTAAATTTTGCTGTCACCTTTTTGTCACCTAGTTGTAGCTGTTGGATCCCAGCTCCGATCAGATTGCTTACTCATGTGTGTCAATTATAGGCTGCTGTACAGTTAAAGGAGAACGCCAATAACAGCTTATTTACAGGGCAACTGAGCATCATAAGGACAGATATAGCCCTGTGTTCCCAAGTTATTGCTATTTATTGTTTACATAAAAAAAACATTCAGATTACGACAGAGCAGGCCACAAGTCTTTGTCCTGCAGTAAACACCAGGCGTGTGCATTCAAGGAAAAAGAAAAAAATCAGATCAAGATGCTGACAGCTCACCCTCCGTTTTAAATTAATGACCTTCCATATTGACAAAGCCGAAACATGAGAGCACACCGCAGTCCGCTGATATGCAAAGTGATTTTGGACGAACACAATACCGACCTCAAGTCATCACACGGAGCCACAACAGAGCTCTGTGACTTTCTAACAGTGTCTAGTCTGTTCTTTTGTAAACATAAACAAAGCTAAACAAAACAGAGAACACACACAGAAAACATATTTTGTTACCCAGTGCAGCTGGATTTGATCACCGGGCAATCAAAGTAAAACAAACTATCAGATCGAGTGTTCAAAGTAACGCTGGCCTGCAGGGGGGCCTTCCTGAGCCTACTGAGAGACAGATTTCAGGCGACCCCCCCCCCCNNCCCCCTCTTAAAAAAAACCCACACAATAAAAGAACCTGCAGTAAAAAATGACCTTCTGGCTCCTAGAGGGAATTTCATCTGTAATCACTGTCACTTTTACTTCAACGTGGTGAAGATCAAATGTGGTTTAACAGCACCAAGACCCCCTCTCATTTAATAAGAATCTCATCACTACGTATGTAGCTGCAGCTGGGGCACCCTGCTGACTGCTCTCACATCAGCTGGACTGGAGGAAAGTGAGTGATTGCTGGAGATCACATTTATTTAATACACACTTCCAACAGGCTTTCCTGTTTACCCCATTATCATTATGTGTAATTACGCCATACCTTCAGACTCTCAAAACAACCACCATTTGCTGGCCTAAGCAAGGGAACTGTTTACCCCATATCATTGTAGAAATCCAACAGTTGACATGTTTCATGATATTTAGAGTTTGTCGTTGTGTGTCGCACTCATCTGCTGTTATTTGATGAGTGTGTCCTGTCTGCAGTGAATTCACTTTTGAAGTCCCACTCCACTCAAAAAATGCGTTTTTGCTCATTGTAACTTCACTCGGATGTCTGATTGATGTACAGAAGGATTATTTTCATGTTCGTTTAGCATAGGGGGAACGTTAAATCTGAGTTTAACCTGTGCACGCAGGAGCAGGTTTTTGTGGTAGGAGGCGTCTTGTGTTCAGCAGTGAAACCTTCAGGCTCTGGCTTTTTAAATGATGAAGAAGGAGTAGATGTGCTTTCAACTAGTTAATTAAACTTTTTTTGTATAAAAACCACATCAGCCATAAATTCTTATTCAAAGCAGAGTGTGTTTATATGTCTTGAAATATGTCTGGAGGTGATCTTTATGTTGTTAATAAAAAATATTATATTTTATTTTACAAGATGGAGAGGGATCAAAATGATTCTGATATTAATAAATTCAGTTTGGACTGGGCACACGCTGTTTTTTTATAAAATTCATCTCAGTGCATTTAAAAAAAAAATCTAAATATTTGAAAAGAATCTAAACGTCTATGCAGCACATTTAAAATACAAAATATGAAAGCTGAAAAAGATAAAACACATGGCAAGACACACTTTGTTTCCTTGATTATTAACCCCTTTACATTTTACTGTGCTCTGAACTCGTAGGTTTTCAAAGATTTCCTACACAATAAGACTAAATTAACTGTTAATTTATCTTCCCAATCTTTATCTTTCCTTCCCAAGAATATTGGCTACACAGAATATCACATTCGTGTTTGTATTTGAACATTTTCACAAAATCGTTTAAAGCATGATGATGTGATCTCATTTTGTAAGATGTCATTTGATATTTCTCACAAACGGCACAAAAATCAGAACAGGGAGGCTTTATGAGGGCACGTTAGGAGCTTGGAAATACAACAAGCTCTCACTCTGCCTCTCTCTCTACGGGCAAGGAAGTGGGAGACTACTCTCAGTTTCAACAGTGTGGACATTAAAATGTCTAAAGATAAGAAAAATAGGTGTGTTGCAGCTCTGTCAGATCAGTCACATTTTCCAGAATCAGGTATCAGTGCTCCTCCTCTCTCTGTACTGGTGTGACTTTAACAAGGAGATGCACATCACTCATTGAGCACACTCTACTCATTAATGCGGTAGGTATTACATTTGTATTGCTGCATTTCATGTCTTGCTATTGATCCAAGTACAAATTTACAAAGAATTCTATACCACCAGGGGGAGTAACACACCTTGACTTTCTAGAATAAAATGGATACAGTTTTAACGGTATATTGGCATTGCATCAGGATCTTGAATTGGATGAAAGTGCTTCAATAAAGTATGGCGTACAAGCTGATTATCAGGAATGAAAAATGGCTTTCTGGCCTGGAACCGGATTCCCTTTTTCTTGCTGCCACCTACTGGCAAGAAAAGAGGGTTGTAGAATGACATGCATATATTTTATTCTCACAAACAAACACCAGTACAGTCAGAAATGTAGGCCTGCAATTAACAATAATTTTCAATGATTTTCTCAATTTAGTCCTTTGGTCCATAGAAAATATTCCCAAAGTGCAAAGTGACATTTTCAAATCCCTCTTTTAAAAGAGAAACAAATATGAAAAAGAGATAAATGGAGCAGCAAGGAAACATACAACCTAATAAAATTCACCAATGTTTCTGTGATGATCTGGGACATTTCAGTATAAAGAATGAGAGGTAACTGACTTTTTCATTTGTCGGAAACAAAGTTGTAGAATAAACTAGAGGATGTTAAACTTTGTTAAACATACCCAAAAGAGTAGGCTACAACATTAGACACCAACCCCCCAACCCAAGATAATCTTATTCTGGTTATCAGATTATGACTTGGCAGAGTATGAATATGACAGTCTATATGGAGGAAATGAGACATCTTTTGAGAGGAGGCACGCTTACCTTACATATTCTCACACCCCCTGAATAAAACAGTTAGGACTTTACATGATTCCTTTCTGGGAGGCGTTGGAAACATATCCAGAGCTCCAGTTCTGTGAATGTTAAGTTTAAGACAAATAAGCTCTAGGCTCAGTGCTGTTGCTACCGGCTTTAAATGACATAAAGCTGATCTGGAGGTAGGTGTGTAATGCTGAAACAAACATAAAGGCTGTCCCACAAGACACTACAGAGTAATGTGTTCCACTGTGTGGATGGAGAGATATTCATTCATACACCTGCTAAAGAAAACTATGATAATGTCACATTGTTGCTATATTACAATATTTACTAAATATAAATAAATATATGCTCTATTACATTTAATACAACTTTAACTTACTGTAATAGAACTTCTATTTTTTGAGAGAATAAATGTATATATTTTCGTAATTTAGCTGACTCTTATCGCACGAGAATCCTCTTAACTCCTTTTAAATCTTTAACTCCGCGAATTGTCCATTGTTACTATGTTGTTTAGTGTGTTTTTATGCTTGGGACAAATAATTAATGAGTAATATTTTAAACTCAAATTTGCGCTTGAACTATTACTGCTGTCAACACTCTTTACTAATGTTTCTCCGTAGTGCCGCTGGCCGACACTAGAGGCATTTTCTGCTGCTGCTCGTTGTGTTGTTGTGTTGTTTTGGTTAGCTGGATGTTAGCTGGATGTTAGCCCATGCTTTCTGCTGTAGCCGGTTGTAACGGTGATGGCGCTCCCATAAAGCGGGGGAGCGGGGCTGTGTTTTCTGACTCAACGCCGAGTGAAGTGCCGTGGCCATGGCTGGGGTTTTCGACATCGATCTGGATCAACCGGATGAGAATGTGTCTGACGACGAACTTGAGGACGGGGTGAGTTTACGTTAACGTTCAGGCTAATGGCGCCGCTGTTAGCTAGCACCTAGCAGCTTTAAGGCCTGCGCTGCTAACCCCTGTATCCGTTATCGGACGTGTCCTCGTCCACCCCTTTCCCGCGGAATCTGACACTAAAAACAGTCACTCACTTACATCGTATTTAAACACATTTCCATTGCTTTTAATGAATTAAAATTTTCGACCGAGAACAATCTCAGTCTCACCACCGACACCGGACAAGCACATGCGTTGAATGAGCAGTGTTGCCGTACAGGTTGGTGTCCCCCCGCTCACTGTAATAAGTTGGCGTTGCCACTGCTTAAGCACATAACGTTATAACAATTTTGGGGTGAACAGACAGTGAAGCCACAAACGCCACCATGTCGATAAAAATGGAAAAGGACCTCAGGAAACAGCCATAATGAAAGCGGGATGGAAACGTAAAATAAGTCGCGTACGCCTGTCACCGGGTGTAGTTTATGTCCGATAACGGAGCTACAGAGTAAGCGGTTTTGCGCTCTGCTTCGGCATCCCTCTGTTGTAGGGCTGTACAGTACTTTAGTTACACCAATGCCACATATATGGGTTGACAACTACTTTGACAATGTTAATAGGTGAGATATAAACGAACTCAGTTAAGAAGACCAACAACCAGCTGAAATCCTAGCAATGCTAGCGGGACTGTAGCTAAAAGGACCACACTAGCTCTCCCACCACTCACCTAACGTTAAGGTAGCAGGTAATAATAATAATGTATTAGACACTAACGCTACTTAACGTTAACTTATTTGTTTATTAGCTATTATTTACAAACATGGGCTTATTTAAATAATGTTGATAAGTTAACGTTAAAGAAGAAAGTGTCCACTCAGCTAGCTTGGTAATTAGTTAGCCGTAACGTTACCTGTTAACTTTTATTTTATTTATTTATCGTTTCTTTTAGCAGGGAGGACCCGCTGAGACCGGGGTCCTGGGTTGCCCTGCGACAGCTTAACAGGATACAATATTCACATGAAATTAAAATACATTTACATATACACATTTTATATATGCATAAGTCAATACCCCGGCCCATGTGTGCACACAGTTGTAAGTAACGTTATATGCCTCTAGTGGTTCAGTCCCCAGGTCTTTAAAAGCACCATATGATACCAGAGGAAGGGGACGGGTTGACTTGAGATGTTGATCGATAGATACATTTAGAGTGTGTGACCTAAAGGTGTACGAGTGTACATAAATGGGATCAATGTTCTGTCTTGAGAATGTCATTTGTTTATTTATATATTATCCTACTTAGTTTTACTGGCATTCAACACCAGTTAAAGACTAGCCACAGCTCGCTGGATTGAGTTTAAAGCAGCACTTAACGTAAACCAGATTAACAATTAGTGAAGCTGTACATGAACGGCGCATGTGACTGCGTACACGCTCCTTGCACAGGGTTGTGCTCTTTTTGTAGATGCTCATTTGTTGTGATGGTATTTTAGGTTTATTTATTTAAAAAGGGACAATGCACATTGATTAATAAAACATAACAATCATGGTCCATTATGTAAATGTGCCAGATTTATCCATACTGGCTCATTTTCATCTGCAGTCCCTGGCAGGTTGATAGCATATATTTATATTTAGATGTTCTTTTTTGTTGTATTGTGCTATTCAGATGATTGTTGGAGCATGTGATGCAGGACACATTTACATGTGAAGTGTTATCTTAACTAATGTTGGGCTAAAATATTTCACTGGGAAATAAGCTCATTAACACTAATAGTAAAAACAATGCCCCAAACATAATGTATCTATAAATAAGGTCATGTTAGCTGGTAACTATTGCTCTGCTATATGATGAGATTTTCTGCTCTGTTCTTTCTCTTGTTTTCAGGGCCAGCTCAATGAATACATGGAGCAGTGCAGTGGCTTTGAATTGTGAGTATAAGCAAAACGAATTCACGGGGGTCCTGACAGGGGCAACAAAATCATACTTTTTAATTTGCATAACAAAAGCGCTAGTGCTCCACTGCATAGTCTGTAGAGCTCTACTGGAGGGATCAACAGCATTCTTTCCAAAGATATTCCCTCATTTGGCATTTTGATGATGGTGGTGGAGCGTTCTGTCTAACACTGCAGTTGAAGGTCTCCCATAGGTGTTCATCTGGGTTGACATCTGTTGAATGGATGTTTTTACTGTGTTTTCCTATAATTTTGTCACCCATCCATATCCATCATCATCATCATCATCATCAGTCATTTATATCATATTGGATAAGGCAGACATAATGAAACTGGGGGTCACTGCCCTAATGTGGATCTGTTTGAGGGCACTGCACACCCAACTCTCCCAGTCAGCTGTTTATTCCCAACAGCAAAACTGTTGTACCACCATCAGCCTCAGTTGAACCATTACCCATGTCTGTGTTTAGGCCCAAACGCTTGTAACTGTCATTGATAATACTGCTGTGTGTCTTGGAAATTGGAAAATAACACAATGTTAAGTGAATTCATTTTTTCTTTATTTTCTTTATTTTTTTGTTTTGCCAGTAACATGGATGACTGTGAGAAGTTTGAAATTTCAGAGAACAGCGTGAACAAGGGAACAGAGCAGATCAGGCCTGAATGCTTTGAGCTGCTGAAAGTTTTGGGAAAAGGTGGCTATGGAAAGGTGAGGCATTTGATTCTCTGGCATGACAATGTGTATATGAATTCAAGTCTTTCAACACACACTTATGACTTTAACTCCTTCTCCATTTTACTCTTTAAGATGTCACTTGATTTGAAATTTGGAGCCATGTATTGTATATGCAGGTTGGAAATGAAAACAATGAACTAATGGGGGCTAACAGCTGTGCAGAACTGTACAGTTGGGTGTTTAATTTTCAGTTGGCACTGTATATCACCCTTTGTTTACACTGAGGCATTTAGTTTAGTGTTAATAAAAAAAGGTTGTTGAAATCTCTTTAAAAGTGCGGGAAGTACCACTTTGTCATTTGCTTTCTTGGCTTGGGACCTGCCATCACATTGCCATTGTGCTAGAAAACTCAGAATTTTTTTTTTTCATTGTCACTGCTGTTTATCAACAAAGTTTTCAGTCCCCAGAGATAAATTAAAATTAAAAAACATTTTCAATGTAAAACCTGCTGTCCCAGCCATCTCCTCCTTTACCCACAACAGCCTAAAAGGGAACTGTAATCTCCTGTAGCCCTCTGTATCTAATTGTAAGATCATCAAGATTAGGAAATAAGTCTTGTGTTTATGGTTTTATTTTGGTATTGCCAACCCGTAGAGAACTGGAATTTTTCTGATGTTCTCTTTTCTAAGCCTGCCAAAGAAAGTGCACATCACAGTTATTTTGGAAACACTTTTCTGTTAGCAAGCGGATGCATGACTTATTCTTTCTTGAAGTGGTTTTGGGTATGATGACTAAGAAGTCATTTTCTGCATCTTGGGAATTTCTCAGCATTAAAAGTATAAAGTAATTCAATGTTTTTGAAACACAATGTCATTCGTTTTGATATTCTTGTGTAGTTAAGGTATATACTTTATTTTGGCACTGGCTTGAAGTTTATTGGCCTAAAAAATAAGAGCAAACAATCTTTCAAGAATTATGCAGGTATACAGATATTGAAAACAAAGACTTTGGCTCACGCAATATCAGAGCAGTCCATGGTTGCAATTTAGTCCGAATAATATAGGACTAACAAAAAGTTATTTTTACGCATAACACAGTGGCCTTTGTTAATTCATTGCTTAGTCAAATGACCACACATTACGTACAATAGCAACCTCTGAACTTCATGTCCCAAATCCTTTCTATGAATGTCCCCAGCGTGGCAAAGTGTAATTTTTCAAGCCATAGTTGAAACATGGAAGTAAAGTAAGTTTACTTAGCCAAAGGAATATATTGATGCTAGATTATCTGCAGGTCTCTAAACGCATTCGAAAACACAGAACTCAGTTTCCTCCAAAACAAGCCTTAAAAAAAAAAAGACAAAAAAAGTATTGTCTTGCCTTCTGTAGTAATGTTAGTTATAACATTTTTAAAGATTTTTTCAATAGTACGTATGCAGGAGGCTGTTCAGTTCTTTTTATAGATTCAGTTAGCACCATCATACTTGGAGCAACACAACATTGTCACTACTAGGTCTGCACAATTCAATAAAATATTGTGCAGGCCTAGACACTACTGTCTTTTGTTTTCTGCAAAAACTTTAATCATTTAATCATCAAATCAAATTTAATTGGCTTTATCCAAGTCCAGCTGACATTATTTACATAATCAGGAATTATTGTTATATACTACAGGGAGGTGCTGAAAAATGACATAATATGAAATGATTCTAGGCCGTATTATGGCTTCTGCCTTTCCATCATACTTTCATACTTTGGCTGGTGTGACTGTGAAATGGGTATTAAATTACATTTTATGTTGCATGAAAAGATCTTAAGTCTTAAATAAAACTGCAGAAATCCTGCGCAAGTTATGGATTTGACTTCATATGATGTACGTTTTCACAGGTGTTTCAAGTACGGAAGGTCTCAGGTGCCACCTCTGGGAAGATCTTTGCTATGAAAGTTTTGAAGAAGGTGAGTGAAGATTTCAATATTATTCAGTGAGAACTGTCTCACTGATACAGAGAATAACTTAGTTATGCTCATTCTGTCCTTCAATCACCTATTAAAGGTGAGCCTAACCGCCCCCTAGTGTACATACAGAATAGTGTGATGTAAGAGAAATGGCATCTGCATTATCTAATCCATATGTAAGCAGACACTGTAATCTACATCTATGGGGAATTAGCACCTTAAATACTCGGCTGACTCTCAAGGCCTGTGCAGCTTAACTGTGTATAGTGTTTCACATGTACTGAATGTCACTGTTTGCCTTTTCTGGTGACATACTGGTGCATTCAGCTATGAAGCCAGAAGCTAAGGACAGACCACCCAAAATAATGGCAGCAGGCTTTTTCCCATAAAACCTCAGGTCTGCTACTTCTGTTCAGCTTGGCTTCGTCTCTGCAGCTGACACAGGGCTGGTGTCTGACTTTGCTTGAAAAGCCAGCTCATATTCCCCGAAGCTTGAGGTTTTGGTTAATGGCTGCGTTTATTGGCTTAATGAGAATTGACTGTAGCTACCATCCTGGCGCCCTGATTCGTGCTCTGCCAGCCTCTGCAACTGACTTTGAAGCTTTGACACTAGCTAATGGGGTTAAGGTTATTGGCTGAATAGTTTCACACCCTGACTCTCTGTGCTTTTCTGTCCCTTGTCAGGCTATGATTGTGCGCAATGCAAAAGACACAGCGCACACCAAAGCTGAGAGGAACATTCTGGAGGAGGTGAAGCATCCTTTCATTGTGGACCTCATCTATGCCTTCCAGACAGGGGGAAAGTTGTACCTTATCCTGGAGTATCTGAGCGGTGAGCATGGTGATGCTCAATCAAGCATACAGTACAAACCAAGACTGCGTTCCTTTTGCAGGCACAAGCGAATCTGATTTTTTTGCTCATTTCATTTGTGACTCAGATCTGTTTGAACAGTGTGAACAGCACAAATCACATGGAATCTGATATTTTCATATGTGGTCCAAATCAGATACGGTTTGATTTTTTTGCAATGCGACCTCAGTTTGAACGATAATCTCAGAATTCATGTCACTTTTATGTCACTTTATTTAGATTGATTTCTGTTTGTCATGCAGGTCAATTCAGCAGCGTGACCTTTTCACAATGGAATCTGATATTGGCCACACATGTTCACAGCCAAACAAACAAAATCTGAGCAATGGCAGCATTAAATGTGAATTGAGCAATAAGGCTTGCATTGCAAACGTGTTCTTCATCTGTCTGAAATTGTGGGTTTCAATTTCCCCTGTGAACACATTTGACTGATACATTTTGTATTTTGACTGCAGGTGGGGAGCTGTTTATGCAACTGGAAAGAGAGGGCATCTTCATGGAAGACACAGCATGGTGAGTTAGTTTGTATGTCACTGGTGCAGCTTTGACCATCGGGCCAATGATAACATTAGCCTTTAGCTGTAAACTAACTTACGATGTTTTTGGTGATCAATGGGAATTTCCTCTGAGAAATTAATATAAAGAAAAGAGTTTCTGGAAACAATTCTGTTTCAGAATGTTATGCTTAAACATGTCAAATCTAAATGTGTCCTTCACTCTGTTTTCCACTCACTCTGTTTGTATACATATTTTAAAGGCCACCCCCTGTATTTACAATATTCAACCATTTCCAAATGGCGACTGTACAACAAGTGTTCCAAGTTATTTCTTAGAGGTTTTTCTTTCTTTTTGGTGATTGATGAAGTACAGCAGAGTCAGGAGTACCAGATGATGTCTGAACATCAGTCTGATTTATTGTTTCTGTCAGACTAATTCTGGCAATTAAACAAATGGTTCAAGAGACAGACAGCTGCTGCCTTGATTTTGATAGCAGCACACCGATATATTTTAAATGTAGCCTTCACATGCCAAACACACCATGAGGACACAGATGTTCAGTAAGGAAATTCGAGGGAATTTTAGGTCTGAAGCATGAAGATATGTGACACTGTTTCTAAGGGTCACTTGGAACAGCGACAGAACCTGCTGCTCTGTTTTATAAACACAGCCTGCAGATGAAAATGGTGATTACATGAACCAAGCTGCTGAACAAATAAGGGTGTGTAGTGTTTCTGGAATAACCTAAATGACATTGACATAACACCTTAACTGCAGATGAGGAGGAGCAGTGGGGTGTGTAAGACCAGTGTTTCCTCTAGGATATTTTTTAGCAGTGGGGACAGGCCTGTCCGAACCCCCCCCCCCGTCCCGTCCGCAAACGTTTTACGTATGAAACAGAACTGACACTTCGCTGCAACACAAACAAATATATTTACCGTTT